CAAAAGAAAGAGTTAATTACCTGTAATACAAAACGATAATTTCCAACATTAACAGGTCCAACAAGTACACTCTCTAACAGTTGATCATAAGTCTCGTCCTCAGCAGATCCGACATATATGAGTTTCCATTCCAAATCTGCACAGGTAATAATATAATAAGGGCAGGCAGTTAAACACACACAGAAGCTAATTTGTTTCTGAATAAGAATGTGAATAATAAAATACTTCCCAGCTTGGATATGAAAGTGCATTGATGCAAGCAAAATTACATATTTAACAATGACCTGATGCCTTTACAATGCAAGGATTGAAAATGTAACTTGACATTAAACAGTAAAAGATCTAAAAGCTTCTGGCAGTATAAACTTTATCTACAATTCAAAATCCAAGAATCACTAGCATTTGCACCCACAAGATACTCATTTGCCATATTCTTCCGTAGCTGGCTAAGCCAAAAATCAAGATGAAAAAAATGTCCATGCAAGCTCAGGCCCCAAAAATTCCACGCTGAAGTGGACATGTACTTCGCCTGTTCTATGCGTGAAAAAAAGCACAACCAACATGGCCTCATCTGATCCCAAAAAGTTCCATTGTCATCATGAATACATTTAACGATGATTATCCAATAACTATCTAGAGATTGAATCCTAGTCTCTTTAATTCGTTCTTGAGGTGAAGTTGCATCATCACTATCTAAGTACGAGACTCTAGAAAAAGACCAGAACTTAACCACCATGAGACTCCTCAAACTAACAGGAGAAAGTAGCATAAACAAAGAATGAGCAAAGGGGGGAAAAAGAAGAAGAAAGATAGTGGCTGATTGGAAACAAAAGAAAGAAGGGAGATATATTCACCTATTAAGTTTTGAACAAAATTTCTATTATGCAAAACTGTACTTGTTTTCCAGAGTCAGATCTCTTGCTCAATATATGTTCACTGCACTACGACCTCAGTAATTTTTAATTTATTCTGATAGCTTTCATCAACATTTTTACTTGCTCTGAAAGATGCTAGCATAAGCATGTGTATAATCACATCTCCTGCATGCTTGACATTTTCTTAATCAGCATTAGAAATGAGCTTTTGATTCGGATAAAAAAACTTATTTCGATAATGTAAACCTCGCTTCATATAGTTGTACGTATACAGAGTAGCATTAATACTATATCATATGATTGCACACGTATATAAAATATATCAAACTTATCCCATAGCCAGGTCCAATAATAATATTCCCTTCAAACCAGCAAATTACTTTCTTCAATCAGATTTCAAATGCTCATATCTGTTAAATATATCTATATACTATTATAACATGACTGCACTAAAACAATAACAATGCACATATAGTACCTACACAGATTGAATTCATACCTTTTCCAATCAAAAACAAGATCTAAGCAATTAATTGATGCTACAAGCAATAAATGGGCAATGCTTTATAGATTTAACTACATGAACCTGAAAGAAAGCTGCTATAAGATTCTCTTAAATGCAACATAATCAAAGTCAGTTAGCACCTTTCAGCATCCACAATCAACTTGAACACACATCCATGGAAGAACATATTTGGCAACTGAATTTCCCATTTGTTCTATGAAGGCTAAACAATGTAAGTGCAGATTCCAATTAAGATATGCCCTTCATGTCTTGTTAGTTTCACAAAATTCCATTTCACCAACTGATCACCTACCAGTGCCGTAAATTAAAATCCATGCTCCATTAAATATTGACAAGCATAATAAGACATTTCACTTAAAATTGCCAAAACCATCTCCTTGCTGTAAACATGTAATCAATAATAAAAACCTAAAGCCCATTTCTTTCTCGAGAACGCTAAATTTAAGAACGGCAAGTAACGAACCGGAACAAACAAGTAATTGTTTTTCTTCTTTCCCCTCATTTCTCCATAACCAAGCCGACCAAGACAAAGAATCAGCGGCATAGGCATAAGTAGCTCAAACAAACTCAAATTAAAGCAACAAGTGAAAACAAAACATCGAAAGGCGCTTCAAAAACCAAAGGAAATGGTAGGGTAAGAATAGGTAGAGGAAGTACCGTCTTTGAGAGGCGTCAAGCACTCGTAGGAGATCTCAAACTGAAAAGGGGTCAAAAAGGGGGCTGGGTTGTCCAAGACGGCGACGTTGGTAATGTTGACAGCACTCATTGTCTCGAATCCCGAGAAATCACCCTAATTGTATACAGTTGCGAGTAGCAATCGATGAAAACCCTAGGTTCCAGAAACTTCATCGAACTCAAAGAAAACACAGAGATAAGCTAAAGAAGAACAACAGCCAACCAAAGTGTTGTTCAAGAAACAAGCTTCTTTGCTTCCAATTACGAGTTTTGGAAGACTGAGAAGGTGGCGATGGTTGACAAGAAGAACCCGAAACAGGATTGAGAGATTCCAGAGGGAAATTTTTCTGGAGAAGAGTTTTTTTTTTTTTTCTTTTTCTCTGAAATGATCTTTTCGGTGGGTCTTTTTCGTGTTATCGCACGGTGAAATTATTTTTAAATCAGTGAACCGGGTGACCGGGATTCTACGACGTGTTACCGGCGATATCCGGTTACGAGATTTGGCGGGAGAGCATAAACGTATGAAAATACCGCCTACGGTGGAGGTTACTGGTCAACTTATTTTCAGGCTTTCCATTTCATGCCAAGTGCGAAATTAAGCAATTAAAACATAATTTTGTTATTTTAGAAGTATATATTTTTAAATTAAAACCATATATAAATTTTAAATTAAATTCCATTAGAGCGAAATTTATTTCTTATAAAAATAATTTTAATTCTAAATATCAATTAAAATTATAAAACGAGTACAACATACAACGTTTCGATCTAGTTTTAAGAATTTCGTAT